AAAGCAAGGAGAAGCTTGCTTGACAAGCTTAGAGCTTGCTTGAATCCCTCCATACATGTATGGAGGATGCATTTTGTGCCCAACAACTAGCACAACTGGCATAAAAATAATCTACAAAAATAGAAAAGAAGCTGTAGGCCACTTCGAGTGGCCTACAAGGGAGAAAAGTGGCCGACAAGGTTCCAAAAGTGGCTAACAAGGCTGAAAAATAAGAAAAGTGGCCGATAGGCCCTCCCCTCCCTCTAGGCAAGGGGTAACAAGGTATGGTCCAAAAACAAACCAAAAGGAAGGGATCCAAGAGGCCCTGAGACAAGGTGCTCAGTCGAAAGTCCCGAAAACTAGCCTACCGGCCACTGCAAGTGGCCTACAAGAGGGAAAAGTAGCCTACAGCTACAAAAAGTGGCCTACAGGCCTCTCTCTCCCTCCAGGCAAAGGCACCAAGGCATGATCTAAAAACGAGACAAGAAGAAAATAGTTAAGAGGTCCCGAGGCAAGGCGTTCAGCCGAAAACTCCGGAAACCTATAACGAGTACAAACATGCGCAATCACCGGGTGCACAAACGATGACATCAAAGTCTTGAGGTCGGTCAAAAATGGGGTGTCTACAGTGGGCCTCACCTTCACATGGGTACTCTCCACATCATTAAAGTTGCATTAGAGCTCTCAAATTAAACCTCTCAAACATTATTGATATTTTATTAACTACATTCTTAAAAATAAAATAAATTAATCACCAAATTTAATATCATACACACAAAAATAAACTTATCACCCGGCATATGCTAACAACAAAGCCCTAACCAATGATTAAATAATTTAATATGATAGCTCTGTTAGTGGAGTAATTGTTCTCACCTATGAGTTTGTGATTTTTATTTAACATCGTTACCTCATTATATAATCACAATGACTACCAGATTAAAATACTTTTATTTTATTTATTTATTTTGAAGTATTAAATTATTACTTTCAATAATAATAAAAAAAAAAGTAGAAATGAAAAAGATGTTCATAGTTAACTATGACATAAGAATTATGATGTTGTACATATGCATTGAATGTAACGCCTCAGAAAAAGTATGAGATAGGTCGATGGCTTCAAGAAGAGTTAGGCGTTTTGGCAGTCACCTAACTCCAATCCAAATCCAAATCCAAATCCAAATCCAAATCCAAATTTTAAAACATTCCCCCAACATCTTAACTCTCCAACAAATACAAATCAAACATTATTTTTTGTTTAATGAAAATGATATTCCTCATTTCACTGTTTATTTATTTAGTTTTTAAAATAACTTCTTTTGAAATTAAAAAAAAAATATCATGAGTTCTACATGTTTGATATAGTTACATTAAACTTCTTTAAAATTTTAAATCATATAATACTTTTCCTCCATTTTTATTAATAATACGTTAGTTATATAGATGAAAATAATGATATTATCATATCTTTCATATTAAAACATATATTCTATTATGTTTATTTTTATATTTTTACACCATACGCATTAATTTTGAGTCTTTTAACTTTAATAAAAGAAGAGTTGGTATAATTATACCAAAATTATAGAGTTTATTGTATTTTATCAAAATCTCATAAGAAGTCTATGTAATTTACTATTTTTTCTTTTTTTTTTTTCCTCACGCAAATTTTTTTATGTATGTATGATATTTCTTGTGAGAAATTCTTTCTGTACCATATGCACTTTATTACAAATTTTTTTATTATATATTATGTATTTTTGTGACAAATGTTATATATATACATTTTTGATAAATTTACTATAGCATTTGTAGGCAAACTCTCAATTGAATGATAGCATTCTAGATTTTTGTGATGTAACAAGTTATAATGGTCACATTATAGGTGATCTTGTGCGTTTTTAAATATGTCTGTGTCATTTTTTAAGCTCAGTTTTACAAATTTATGTATTAAAAATTTATATTTTTAACTTAATTCTCAAATTTATTAATAGCATTCTAAATTTGTGTGATATAACAAATTATAATGGTTGCAATTGTGTGTGTGCCTTTCTAAACACATACATGTCATTTTTTAATATAATAATAATATAAAAAATATAAATTATTGATATAAAAAATTATAGGACAAGATTGTTGGTCCAATTATAACTGTTTTTTTCTCGTGTTTTTTTTGAAGATGAAATAAATTATTTCTAGATGTTGATCTGCATAATTTTGTCTAGAGAAGAAGATGAACATCCAGATCAACATCAATGAAGAAATAAATAAAGAGAAGAAAAAGATGAACAATTTGGTCTTTGATCTGAAGATCAACATCCAGATCAACATCCACATCTGAAGATCAACATCTAGATCAACATCTCTAGACGTGGATGTCTGGTTCAGCTCCTCCGTCTAGAGTTGTGTTTATCAACATCCCGATCAACATCAACAAAAAAAAAAAAAAATTTGGTTCTGCAGATCAACAACAAAAATTTGGTTCTGCAAATAGTTCTTCAAATAAATAAAATTTTTTCTTCTTGTTGGTTCAACAAAAAAAATATACAGAACATAACAACTTTTTTTTATTTATTTATTTCAGATCCAGAACAAGTAAAAAATAAATAAATATACAGAATAGAATTTTTTGCACCGCCATCATCCAGATCAAATTTTTTTTTGAACAGTTTCAGATTTTGAACATCATCATCATCTTCATCATCTTCAACATCATCATCATCTTCAACAGCTTCAGATCACCAAGCAACAGCTTCAGATCACCGACCGCCATCACCGCGCCATCATTGATCTTCCTTCTCTTCCCTCCTCTCTCTCTCTCTCCCTCTCCCTCTCCCTCCTCTCCTCTCCTCTTCCCTCTCTGTCTCTGTGTTCGAAAGAATGAAGGGGAAAGAATGAAAAGGAAAGAAATAAAGAAGAAAAAGAGAAAAAAAAAAAAAAAAGACAGCCCAAAACGACGTCGTTTTGGGCTGTCGAGCCATTTGGGCCACAGTGATTTCGAGCTACCACTCATTTTTCTTTTTGAGATATAAAAAAGTCAAATATTCAATATTCGAGTTATAATTAACTGTTTTTTTATAGGTTCAGGGATGGAATTGTTAAGAGATCGGGAGTGGCCCCGACCCCACCACAATATAGAAAATTCTACTGATGCCTCTATATAGTGGTGTTTTGAAAAGTTGGTAAAAAGTTAACTTTTTGATTTTTTTAGTCTATTTTGTCTTTTTGTGAGTAAAAAATGCGAGAGATGATGTCACCCAAAATGGATAAAAAAGCTAAAAACTACCTTTTTTTTCCTTTCCAAAACACCAATAATTTTGAGTATTTACAATATAATTATTATATTATCCCTAAATTTTAAGTAAATTTACTTTGATCCCTTCAAAATTCTACAATTTTTTTTTGTTGTCTCTTGAAATCTCTTCTTGATTTTTTACTCATCACAATATTTTTCAAGCGCTCCTTATAGTTAGACCAATAATTGAGACACAAAAATATTAAGGAAAAATAATATGTGAGCTAGATTTCTTATATAGTAGGATTTAAACATAAAATAAATTTGAAACACACATTATTTTCTTAATACTTTTTTTTGTCTTCAGCATTATTGTAGTCACATATTTTATTAAAGGGCAAATTACAAATACACTCCCGACGTTTATTTAAAATATGAATTGTCTCTTGTGATTTAAAAAATTACAAATACTTTCTTGTCAAAAATTTTTATTTAACAGAATTAATTGAAAAAGTGAAATTTCTAACTGTTCATCTATACAATAATAAAATTATCTGAATTATTAATTGAAATAAAATTTTAGCATTATTAAAAACTGTTAATTAACTTGTTGATTTATTAATAAAATGATCTATTTGTTATGAAATTAGAAACCTTAGGGGGTATAATGTAATTTCTAGAATCACAGAGAGTAATTTGTAATTTAAATAAACCTCAGGTGGAGGTGTGTTTGTAATTTACCCTTTATTAATATCAATTATAATTAACACTTCCTAAAAAAAATTAATAAAATTACAATATTTCTTAAGAACATATGAATATCTTACACCATTATAGAAGTAACACTAAGAATATTATAAGTTTCAAATCCAAAGAAAGACAACCGAGACAAAAAAAAATATAGCTAATAATAAGTAATGTGATAAATTCCATACGTCAATTAAAGTTTTGAAATTGTGTTAGTATAAAAAAATATCTATCAAAAGCATTTGAAGGAGATTATACTTTGGCCCACCTCAATTAAAAAATCCTAATTCCGAATCCTAATGAGGTTGCCTCCACGGTTAACAAATGAAATTGATCCAAATAATATTTCTTTATATTCACTGCTATTACCGTTACAATTGCATTATCACCCTTACCACAACTATCACTATAATCACTATCATCTCCTTCATAACCACCACACAATCACTACAATCACCAAACTACCACCACCATTAATAATGTCATAAAACCATTGCGATATTTTTATTGTAATTTAATTTATTAATCATTAATATCTTAGGGCAAATATGTGTTTTTTTGAATAATACTATCAATTAATATATTAATAAATAATGTGATATAATTTTAAAAATTTTAAATTTTTGTAATTTATATAATAAATAAAATCATAATTTAAAAAAAATACTATCATAAAATATGCTAATACATTAATTAATGAGTGTAACACCGTTAATATTTTATATATATATATAATTATGAACTGACCACCCGACAGGGCCAAAGAAGAGTTGTTAGTAGTTGTTATAGTGATTTGTTTAGTAAACTTAAAACAGTCGCAACGGTGAATCCAACTACTCGGTTCTTAATCTAAAACAAACAAACTTCGTTTCAACCACTGACCTCTCCTGTTGCGAACCAATAAAATTCCAACACGTATTAATCCATTGGTTCCAATCGACAGGTGTCATCAAAATACAGCTCTAGCCAGCCGTCTTGGTATCCAATGAGCAATGAAAGCCGCGTTTGGAGGCCAGTTTTTCAAGCTTGAGTGCACATCACATCATTTTCAACTCCTCCATCCATCCACATTCTCTCTCTCTCTCTCTCTCTCTCTCTCTCTCATTTCAACTCTGATGAAACGCCAAAACTATAGAGAAAACAATGCACCACCCCATGAGAACAAAGACCACCTAGCTAACACCTCACTCTTTCTCTCTCTTACTTAGTTTCTATCAATCATTCTCATTCTCTCTCTCTCTAAACTGGCAATGGTGGTCTTGGTGACCCCTCATTTCAATATCTGAGACAGCAATTAATGAAGTAAATCAACAAGAATTGAGAGAGAGAGAAAGAGAGAGAATGTTTAGGTTACAGAGGCCGAACAGGTCTTCCAAATCAGGAGAGAGAATTGACTTCAAGTTCTCCAATTTCCAAGCCATTCAGGTACGTCTTGGACTTGGATTTTCCTTTCCACTTGGTCTTCAATTGATTGATTGATAATTCTTTGATGTATAATGATTTTCATTTCTATAATTTTCCCACTTTTGAATTGTAATGATCCTCGATGTTGTCAACAATGTAGCTTCGGATTGATCACCACTCTTCTATGCTTTAGCTGGAATGGAATTGTGCCATTCCATTCCATCTTTATTTTCCCTTCTCATGTTTGATTGGTTTACATGGATACAAAATGTATTAGCAATGGAATCAATCCATTCCGTTTATATTTCATTCCAATTAACCAAACAATACCAACTGTTGGCCTATTTTGGGAAGTAGAGGCTTTTTTCGAATAAAAAGTACAAAGAAATAGAGAAGATGAGATCCAAATAAGCTAATAACCCAATAAGCTGTCTTTTTAACTAGTTGCCATTGTTCGCTTCCTTTGCATTTTTTTGGTGGCCTGAAACAACTCTTATCTTTCTTTTTCAAAATCTTACTAGTTATTTTTCAAAGTACAGTTTGGTCCCCATTAGAGAAGGGTCTGAGTGGTTTGGAAGGGGTAGATTCCATACATACCTAACTTTTGGCCATATATGCACATAGTGGCTGCTCTCGAGTTTGAATCCACAACATAGGCTGAGTTTTAACCCCTGAACCGGTGGCCTCCTCCTATTATGCATTTGGATAGAAATTAACGGTCACACATCCTTCTTGTGTAAAAATCAATCCAACAATCAGTCAATTCTATCACATACTTGTACAATATGTCTTTGATGCACTGTAGTTTCTTTGAATTTAGTATTGATTGTTGCCCATATGCTGCAAACACACATAAATTTGGTGAACAATCTACTATCCAATTTCAATAAAGACGATTATCTCGCTTTGTTTCGAGCAAATTTCCCTTTCAGAAACTCAAAGAGAGTAAGAAAAATCTGTTCGTCAGACCTATTAAATCTTCTAAATTAGTTCTAATCTTATACATTAAACCACGTAGAATATACAGGAAGTTTTTGGGTTATGTGTTCTCTCTAGAAGGGACAAAGGACACCCTTACTGCAAAATTATGAATATGTTTTGGGTTATGTTTTATTTGTTGCTAATGTAAATTTATGACAGTATCCATGGGGAGAGAGTAAATAGATGGCAATATGATTCAGTACAAAATTTGCAAAATTATGGTACAGTTGGGAATTTTTTTTTTCTTCTTTTTTTTGGTGTGTGTGGGGTAATTTTAATCTTTTCGGTACCACAGTCACTGGGGTAACTCAGTAAACATTTTAAAATTAGCGATAATAGTTTACATGAAACAGTCGTAGTCCTGGATTAGCATTGAATTTTGTGTTAAATTGAGGTCCAATTCTACATCTGATGCATCTCGTCTCCTCCAAATTGTTGCATAGAAGTCTATTTAATTATATATTTTCATTTAGTGATTTTGATTCCCAATGAAATGCGGCTCAGTGATCACGTAATGTTTGCATTGGCAATAGGTACCAAAAGGATGGGACAAGCTTTTTGTGTCTGTTATCTCCTTAGAAACAGGAAAGACAATTGCAAAATCAACGAAAGCAGCTGTGCGAAATGGTAATTGTCAATGGACAGAGACTTTGTCAGAATCTATATGGCTTTCGCAAGATGATTCTATAAAAGCGCTTGAAGAGTGTCTCTTCAAGTTTGTTGTTGCCATGGTATGATGCCTATTTTTCTTTAACTCCTCATAATCATTGTTATCATCGTTATCTTGATATTATCATTAACTCCGTGTAGTCAAGCATTGGAAGCTGTCCATTTTCTCTAGCAAGAAATAAAATGCTTGCGATGACTTATAGATCATATCCAATGACTTGCTTATTTGTTACAGGGATCAGCAAGATCTGGCATCCTTGGAGAGGCTACTGTCAACATGGCTAATTATATGTCTTCGAAGGCTTCTGTTCCAGCTATGTTGCCCCTGAAGAAATGCAATTATGGTTCGATTTTACAAGTGCGTCATACACTAATACTTGTTTGATCTGAGTTCCCTTGTTTGTTAGTTTGTTTATAACTGCATCTCTCAACAGCCTTTCTTACTTGTTTTGCTGTAAAATTAGAACATGAAAAGCTACTCACTTTGGTGGCGATGTGGACTTAAGTTATGACATTAGCTATTTTATTGTATTAGTTATGTCATTTAATGGTAAAAATTATGAATGAGTGAATTTATAGTGTGCACCCCTAAAGTGAAAATTACGAACTATTGTGATTATGCTATGAATATGATAATTATGGATGAACAGCGTGGTGTAAATGTTACGAACTATTTTGATGAGAAAAGTTATGACATGTTGTGATTTATGTTACGAAATTTTGTGAAAAAGTTATGAAGGGCATACTATATGCAACCAGCTATGGGGGATTATGTCTTATCAGCTAGCTATCTTCATTTAGATTACGAGTAAATCTTGAGTTTTCTTTTCATTTTCTTTTTAAGTTCTGTTGAAATTTTATTGTTTTAGTAGTGATTCGACTATTACTGCAAATTGTTGATTATCCATGTCTTTGCTTCTCAATCAACATCTAATGTGTCTTTTCTTGTTTAGTTAGTCCATTGATGCTTAGGCTTTTGCCAATTTTGGAGCTGCCAAGTACCAAGTGAAAAGTCATTTAATCCATTTTGTTTGTCCACTGATTTTCAGGTTAAAATTCAATGCCTAACACCAAGAACAAAACTGAGGTTGTACTCTATGGTGCAATTCAATTGCTCTTATTTTAAGGGTTTTTTTTTTATGTTTTTATTTATTTTTTAATTATGAAGGTTTGGTGCACACCTATTCCAGGGATGAAGAATCAAAAGACTCGAGTTCTCATATGGAAGAACAGAACGAAGATCATCACGACATGGAGCTTAAGTCAAATGGGTCTGATGATTCATTTGCTAGGAATGATGGATCTCTCTCAAGTAAAGATTTGGGCTCCACTTCACATCCAGCAGAACTTCAGAGCAGGGTGTGTTTGCTTCTTTTACTCATTATTGACAATCTCCTAGTTTATTTCATTTTTGAGAATGTTAAAAAATATTTCCTTTGCTCATTTATGTTTTCACCATAAGTTTGTGTTTGTGTGTGTGCATACTATCAAATAATGGGAACTTGATAATGGCATAAAAAATAAAATTACAATTAAAAACAGAAAAATATGATATATTAACTATCCAATGGAATTAAATAGGTCGCCTGCATGAAGCCAGAATCGCTAGTAATCGCCGGTCAGCCATGTGGCAGAAAGAAAAAGAGAAATAAAGTTGGCATAATTGTATCATGAGACACATTTTTTGTTCAATGAAGTACCCACCATTGTTTTAGGAATTTCTAGTGATGGTGAAAACTTGTTTTTACAAACAATGTTTCCGAAAGTGATTTTTCAGAGTGCTTTCCCTCTATTGCATAGCTGGTTGTTCGTGTTACAACAACATGTTGAGATTTCTTTTCCAAGTGCATAACTAACATTACCTCTTCACCTCCCTGCAGGAAGCAATCTCAGCATCTGGTTCACATCACAGCCTTGACTCAGCAGAGGGCTCCAGAGGGCAGGACATTTTCTCCCCGAGAAATGATTTAAATGGTGACAAATACAACCCGGTTGGAAGACAACACTCAAGCAGTTCCGTAAATAGTTCTCCACACAGCAATTATCCTGTTGAAGATCCTTCTCAGTCAAATCACTCATCCTTTAACTCAAGGGTTACACATTCAAGGAATAATTCTGACAATCATTCTCAGAATTATCCTGTTGCATCACCATCTCTGATGAATGCTGGTTCTTCAAAAAACCTTCTGGAAGCTGCAGAAGATACAATTGAAGAGCTTCGTGTGGAAGCCAAAATGTGGGAGAGAAATGCAAGAAAGCTAATGCTTGATTTGGATATATTGAGAAAGGAATTCTATGATCAGTCGAAAAGACAAGCAAACCTAGATATGGAGCTTTCGGCTGCTTACACAGAACGTGATAGCTTCAAGAGAGAAGTTGAGCAAATGAAGCTAATGTTGGAGGAATCAATGTTGAAACAAATGGCGAGGGAGGATTCAGCGTTTCAATCTGACGGTGCAATCCATATTCGAAAGGAACTGGAAAATGAGATAAAGTTTCAGCAAGAATCTAATGATGATTTGGCTATGCAGTTGAAGAGGAGTCAAGAATCAAATATTGAGCTTGTTACTGTTCTCCAAGAACTAGAAGAGACCATAGAAGAGCAGAGAGTTGAGATTGAGAATCTCTCAGCTCTGCAATTGAAATTCAATGATATGGAAAAATCTATCGAAGAAAAGTTGGAAGAAAACAGGAGTTTATTACTCCAGCTTCAACAGCTCGAGGAATCAGAGAACAAGTTGCAAGACAATATGAGATTGCTTGAACAAGCCTTGGAGGACAAAAGAAATGAGAAAGAGAATGATTCTAGTCTGAATAGCCATGCTCTTCTGGATATTGAGACAGAATATAAATGTAAATTATCTGCCAAAGAAAATGAAATAGCCAGTTTGGAAGAAAAATTATCTGAATCTCTCATGAATAGACAATCAGATGAATCGGATCTGATCCGTGAAATTGAAGCCTTGAAAGAGAAATTGCAAGAGCTAGAAAGTGATTGCAGTGAGCTCACCAATGAAAACTTGGACCTTTTATTCAAGCTTAAGGACTCCAAGAACAATTGCATGTCAGGATGCCCATCATTTGACAGTTCATCCGGTGAGCTTCCACCTAAATCGTTTTCAGAAACTGAGGTGAGAAAACTTGAATCTGAAATTCAGGATCTGCAAGAGGAGCTGAAGAAGACAGTGATCGAGAAGGATCAGCTAGCTGCTATTGAAACGTCTAATTCTAAAGTGTACCCTGATTTAGTTGAACAGCTTCAGATGGCCTTTTATCATGTAAAGAAGCCATGGTATAATGTTTCGCCTCATGTAAATAACGACTTTGAATCTAATCTAATTTCCACAGATGTGACTTCTCCAAAAGAGTGGGCTGACTCTATCTTGAATTCTTTCATTGGGCTGAACAAATTATTGGAAGCAAGGATTGTTCAGTGTGAAGAGGTTCTTCAACATGGCGAACTTGAGATCAAAGAGAGGAATGATGATGTTGCAGAAGCTCAAAAGAAGCTGGAAGATTATATTTCGAAAGAAAATAACCTTTGTCATTCCATTCAAGAACTTGAGAGTTCGAACGCTGATCTTGAAGCTAATCTTACATGTCTAGAAAAGGAATTGAACGAACAAAGATCTGAGATGGAGAAGCTTGAGGCTAGTTTGTTCTTGAGGGAAGAGGAGATTGGTTTTCTCAGACAGTGTCGAGGGGAATTAGAAGCTCAGAATTCTGATCTTGAAAAGGAAAAAATCCAACTGGAGGAAAACGTGGAAATCATGCTGAAGGAAAGCAACATCACCTCCAACTGCGTGGATGATCTACGAAACGATTTAATGAAGCTCAACAACAGTGTGGAGTCCCATGTTTCGGCTAACAAGATCCTTGAAAGGAAATGTTCAGAGCTAGAAAGCCAAAAACAGGAATTAGAGCTCCACTTATCAGATCTGGAAAAAGAAAACGTGCAGTTATTAGAACGCATATCTGGATTGGAAGATCAACTGAGGTATATGACAGATGAGAGGGAATCCTATCGATTGGAAATAGAGAACTCCAAATCTGTTGCTTTGAGTCTCCAAGTTGAGATCAGAAGATTGGAAATTGAGATGGAGACAGAAAAACTGAATCTCATACAAAAATTACATGATATGCAAAATCAAAGGTCAGAAGCCCAAGAGGAGTGTGAAAATCTGAGAATAGCATATCAGAAATTACAAGTTTCTGCTGAGAACCTCATTGAAGAATGCAATGCTCTTCAGAAAGCAGACGAGCAATTGAGGAGGCAAAAAATGGAGTTGCATGAGCTTTGTACACACTTGGAGACCGAATTGAGAGAATCACAGCAAAATTCTTCTGATTACTCTAGAAGGGTTGAAGCCTTAGAAGCAAATCTTTCTGCAATGCTTGAAGATTTTACCTTGAAAGAGAAGAGCTTGAGTTCAGAACTAGATGGTCTTCTTAAGGAAAACAGGAATCTGAAGGAGAAACTTGAACTCGGAGAAAGCATGTTGAATCAGATGTGGATGGAGAAGACAGCTGAAATTGAGAACCTTCAAAGGGAGATTGAACAGCTCACCAAGCAAATTTCTGCCACTTGTGATGAAAGAGAGAAAATAGCTTCTGAAGCTGTACATTTACGTGCTAGTAAAGCTAAGTTGGAATCTGATCTTCAAGAAGTCCAATCTAAAGTTAAATTGATAGAGAATGAGCTTGATACTGTCAGAACAGAATCTGAATTGAAGGTACAAAATTTGATGGTCGAGATTTCCTATTCTAGACAAAACCACGAGTTAATAGTGGCAGATCATGAAAAAGTGTTGAAGTTGTTGAGGAGTTACAGGTCGAGTGAAGAGAAACTGAAGACAGCTCTGAATGATCTTGAGCTAAAGCATACTGTTTCGGAATATGAACGACAACAACTCATTGAAGAAACTGCTAATTTGAAGTTTCAGTTGCATAAGGTAGCAAACCTTCAGGATGAAATTTTGGCTTTAAAGAGTGAGCTTGATGCATATAAGTTTGAAAAGGAAAAACTGAAAGCTTCCCTGCATTCAGTTTCTGGAGATTATGAAGAATTGAAGGCTGAGAAAGTTGCATTTCTTCAGAAAATTTCCAGCTTGCAGACAGTCGTGTCTGATTTTGAAGAATGCAAACAGAAGAAACTTGCTTTAGAAGAGAAACTTCTGCAGATGGAGGGTGATATATCAGCAAGCAAGGCATTGTGTGCTCAGGAGGCTGAGCTGAAAAATGAGCTCGTCGAAATCACTAAAGGAAACAAGCAATTTCAGTGGAAAATACAACAACTCGAGGAGGAGAAGGGTGAATGCCTGAAGAAAGCTCAGGCCCTCGAGGAGCAGCTCAAATTAATGGAGGAGCAGAAAAAGAACCGAAGTCGTCCCAGGACTAAAAAGGTCTGTGGCTTTCCTTTTTCTTTTTCGTTTTAGTATTTTGGTTTATTTCCAGTTGAAAGTTGATATCAATGCTGTTGTGAATTCTTTAATTTTTTTTCTTTCATTTCAGGGTGATAACAAGTATGATTTTCATGATGGAAGTCCTCGTGCTAGTGGAGTAGATCATATAGCAAAAGTCCAGTTGCTTGAGAATGAGCTTGCTCAGGCTTTGGAGGCAAATAACAAATACAAAGTTCAGCTTCAGAGGTGGGTTGCAAATGAGTACATTCTATTTCGATACGTATAATTTAATTTTATATGCTTGGTATAGCTGCATGCTTGATCAATTAGGTTACGTAAACCTTCATTAAATATCAACAAACAGCCTTTCCAATTTCTATTTCATTTATGCACAAAATGCACCGATAATCTATAAGAAAGGTTGAGCCCCACCCTGGTTAGTTTTTGTATTCTGAGCAACATGACTTTTTCACAACATTTAAGTTTTTATTTTTTATTTTTTATTAACTTGTGTGAACCTATTCTAAATTTTACATCAATCAGAGCTTCAAAATCAATTCCATAAGGATATCTTCTGAATGGATTGATTGCAGACGTCGAGTCGTTGAGTTGTAAACTATGAAAGATTAATTGGGGAATAGAAGTACTATATATTGTAGAATTATTTTTAAAAAATAAGAGAAACACCACTAAAAGCTCTCTTAAAATTGCAAGGCAATCAGTTTAGCACATCTATGGTACATAAAAATCAATTGTGAATGAATTACATTATTTGAAAAATGGTTGATATCAAGGATGTGTAAGCATTTGTTTGCAGCATGCATTAATATAATTTAATTTGCTGATGGGACAAGACAACCCTATTTTACATGTATTGGCAACTAATCTGCTAATATTTTGCTGCAGGCTTTTGGCCGAGGGGAGAAACAATCATGCAGCTGCTCCCAGGAAATCAACAGCTGAAGGTGAGGTAGTAGCAAAAGAAAGATTTGAGCGCACAAAATCATCACTAGAGACAGAACTAAAAGACATTCGTGAGCGCTACTTTGACATGAGTCTTAAATATGCTGAAGTGGAGGCACAGAAAGAAGATCTCGTGATGAAGCTCAAGGCAGCTAGGAACGGAAAGAAGCGGTTGCCATGAATCCATGATCATTCCAAGTGAGTTTTTCCTTCTCTCAATCTCGTGTAACCTTACCCAAGAATCTTTTTGTCATACATCAAAATTTTCATTTCATTTTCTTTGTTAATGTACACTAAACCTAAGTGGGTTAGGTTTAGTGTACATTAACATTCTTGTTTGAGAGTAAATCATGGTAGGATGTGAGCAATAAATTAATAGGCAAATGGGAAGCCTACTTGTGTCTAACAGAAGTGGTGTGACTGACAGAATATAATTATATAAGTCTGTGCCACGCCAAATAGCAACATGTCATTTCAGAAATAAAGAAGATTCAAATTTTATATTCTTCTCTTAGTTGTGGCTGAATATCCTATAAAGCTATTAGAAGTGGAACTTCCTGGTAGATTCGAATCCAAGTATAAATAATTCCGGTATTATAGTTTGTGGTAAAACTTTTGCACAAACTCCAATACAGTTCATCACTTATTTTGGAAGATAATTTTTCAGACATGTAGCAACATATTGGTAAAAATAGAAGAGAGTTGTAAAATATTAGCTTATCCTAATTTGGGTGAGACCATGTCTATATATAATCAATATAAGATACTAGGAAAAAGAAATTAAATAATTACATAATTAAACCCTAAAATTAAATTCTTAAATTAAATATACAATATTCCATATTCTAATACTCCCCCTCAAGCTGGATCAAAGATGTCAACCAACCCCAGCTTGCCAATGGAAGATCGAAGTAGGGATGGTGCTACAGATTTGGTGAAGATGTCAGCAGTCTGATCAGAAGATAGAACAAATGAAGGACACACAATGCCAGCTCGAACATTTTTCCAGATAAAATGAATATCAACCTCAATATGCTTAGTACGCTTATGAAGCACAGAGTCAGAGGCAAGTAAGATGGCAGACTTATTGTCACAAAATAGCTTGGAGGAATTATTCTCCTCAAAGCCTAATTCAGTAAGAATGGACGAAAGCCATAGTAACTCACATGTCCCATGAGCCATGGCGTGGTATTAAGCTTCAACAAATGATCGAGAAACAACCGCTTGTTTTTTGCTTTTCCATCATAGAAGATGGGTACCAAGGAAGGTGCATACCCCAGTACAACAGAACGATCTTGTCTGAATCCCACCATTGAAGAATAAACCCAAACCTGGACATGACTTGAGATATCTCAAGATGTGGTGAACAACATCAAGGTGAGCAGTACGAGGTGAATGTATAAACTGACTAACCACACTTACAGCAAATGTCAAATCTGGTCGTATATTAGTCAAATAGATCAAACGTCCTACCAATCTCTGGTAGCGAGTTGGATCAGAAAGCAACTCACCAGACTCAGTCGAAAGTTTCAAATTCGGATCCATAGGAGTAGATGCAGGCTTGCAACCCATCATACCAGTGTCCCGAAGAAGATCCAAAGTATACTTTCGTTGGGACAATGATATCCCACTGCGAGAATGAGCTACTTCAATCCCCAAGAAATATTTGAGAGGACCCAAGTCCTTGATGTCAAAAACTCGACTAAGCTCCTGTTTTACCTTAGCAATACCAATGGTGTCATCTCCTGTAAGGATGATATCATCCAAATAGACCAACAAAATAATACATCGACCAGTGGGCTGACGGCGAATGAAACATGTATGGTCGGAGTGACACTGAGTAAAATCCATGGATAGGATAACAGAGCTGAAACGACGGAACTATGCACGAGGAGATTGCTTCAAGCCATAGAGAGACTTGCGCAAACGACAGACCTTGCCAACATACTCCCCCTCAGCCCCGAAACCCGGGTGGAGGATCCATGTAAATCATCTCAAGTAAGTCCCCATGTAGAAAAGTATTTTTGACATCAAGTTGATGAAAGTGCCAAGAAGAAAAGGCAGCCAAGGAAATAAGTAAACGAACAGTGGTCAATTTAGCAACCGGTGCAAACGCAGTCCCAAAGCCCTTGCCAGGAACTTGTGTAAAGCCCTTAGTAACAAGATGGGCCTTTTAGCGGTCCACTGTACCATCAGCCAAGTATTTGACAGTAAAAACCTACTTGCACCCAACAGTCGTCTCACTAGAAGGTAAAGAGACAAGATCTCAAGTGTGATTATGCTCCAAAGCAGCCATTTCAGTTTGCAGAGCGGCAACCCATTGTGGATTTTGGAGAGCCTCAGACATAGACCGTGGGATAGAGACCAACTCAAGTTGGCCAAGAAAAGACCGATGAGAAGTTGAGATGGCATCATAACATAAAAATTGGGAAATAGGGTGATTAGTACTACTAAACTAACCAAACCGATTAGGGGGATGGTGTTCATGGGTTGGATATCGAGAAGGAGCTGGGGGGGAATAATAGAGGGTGTACCTTGGCCTGAGGGCGAAGAAGATGCTGGAGAGGGCGGAGCACGAGGGCGACGAGAGTATGTCTGTAATGGCGGAGGACTAGCAGGTGCAGATACAGGCGATGAGAAAGGAGCAAAGAAATCAATGATAGGAACAGGGCGAGCACTCGGTGACACAGCAGGAGGCGGTGCACACGAGGCGAAATCTTGAAACATAGGGTTAGAACCAAAAAATGGCATATCTTTGCAAAATGTGACATCCATAGAATGATAAAAATGATGAGACAACGGATCATAGCACCTATAGCCTTTAGAGAGAGTGGAATAGCCCAAGAAGATGCATTTAAGAGACTTGTTATCTAACTTGGTCCGAGTTGGACTAAGATCCTAAACAAAATAAGTATAACCAAACACACGAGGCACAAGAGGAAATAACATGGTATTTGGTCGAAGTAATTGAAAAAGGGCCAACCCGTGAAGAATCCGGCTAGGTGTCTTCAATAAGACAGTGGATCATAAACCGTCACGGTCTAGATGGATAGCCTTCACGGATTACATTACTGGCTTAGGCATAGAAGTGTCATTAGAACACATTAATGGTTCTGATAATACTCTTGCTGATGCATTATCAAGGCTTGTTTATTCTCTGCTGTCTATTACAGAATGGCCAACCAAGGAGGAACCGGAAGATATGGAGGTATTAATCGGCCTGCAGCAGCTCGAAGAACTTACCCAGCCCTTCAGAGACATGAACGGATCATCCTCTCTCAAACAGAGCCATCAAGTCGCTGGATTGATCCTCAATTTCATCCCATTGCTGTACGATACCAGTCTCTCTTACAGCAGATCGAAGATAGGTTCACCTACGACTCAGGAATCCCCCTTGATGAAATGGCAGAGATCCAGTCCAGTCTCACCGAAGAAGAAGACAATGCCATCGAACAGGCCAGAACTGCAATCCAACAGTTACGAAAAATCCAACAGCTTAAGCTTGAAGCTGTTGCCAGAGCAGCCTGCAGCGACAACCACTATTCAGACATCTTACCAGAGGTTCACCAACAGACTTGTGAACTGAATGAAATTGATAGTGAACTGTTTGACCTCGTTATGCTGATGAGGATGTTTCACTATTAAGATCAACAGATTGGTGGACTACATTCCATGCTTATCACCTTGGGAAGAACGTGGTGGGCATATAATAATAGTTGTCAGTTGTCAAATTCCATGCTTATCTCTTTGAGCATGGACCAGTCCAATAATGGTTGAAGGATGCTTCAGTCAATAGTGTCGGCAGCATTGATTATCATTCAATAGCTGTCAGTAATAGTGTCGGTAGCATTATTATTCCCCTTTAATCAATACTCAGGTCACTGAGAAAAACTGTGGGAATAATATAGCTTGTCTTATTATAGATATTTTGTAATAATTTGCCTGAATTATGGATCTGTCATAATCTGGCACATCTATCAAGGAAAATATGTGAACCAGAGATATGGGCTTGTCATATCCTGGTAGTAAGTGGAGTCAGTGGGGAATCAAAACACACCAATAATGTGTCGATGAGTCTATCAAGTGCACTCGGCATTATTGCATGTATTCTTGATAACTCCCTATAAATAGGTTACTAAGTCCAGTGTTTCAAGCATCAAGAAGTTCCAAAAACTACACTTGACACTTGAGATAAACTTCTGTTCATGGAAAATCTCCTCGGAGAAACGGAAAAGTTAATCTGGACACAATGGCGAATGAGGTATGCAGATGAATATGCTAACCTTGTTGCTATAGGCGATGGGAATGAAGGTACACAGAACATCATCTCCCAGATGAGAACTGTGTTCACTCTTGAAGACCCCTATCAAGGATCAACACTGATGCAGGAGGAAGCTTATCGTGACCTCGAACGATTGTCTTGCCGAGATGTAAAAGATATCATCAAGTTTCTTAATGATTATCTTCATCTTGCAACAAAGTCAGGACGATTATTCATCGGAGAAGAGTTATCCTCAAAGCTTTGGTCAAAAATGCCAGGAGACCTTGGTGAAAGGATCAAGAAAGGATTTGCAGAACGACATGGAGCAAACACAATTGGCGTCGTTCCCCGAATTCTTTATGCTTACAAGTATCTGGAAGCTGAATGCAAGAATGCGGCGTTCCAGAAGTCACTTCGTAATCTGGACTTCTGCAGGGAGATCCCTATCCCTGGGTACTACAAAGAACCAGAGAAGAAGTATGGAGTTCGAAAAGCTACCACCTACAAAGGAAAGCCACATAATTCTCACGTCAGAATTGACAAAAGAAAGTATTTACAAAAGTCAAAACATTGTAAATGCTACTTATGTGGAGAGGAAGGACATTATGCACGAGATTGCACGAAGGAAAAGAAGAATGTCAAGAGGGTAGCTGTGTTCGAAAATCTGAGCATTCCTGAAGATTATGATGTGATGTCTGTAGAACCAGGAGATGAAGACTCAGATGCAATTTATTCAGTATCTGAAGGGATTGATGATACTGAACAAATCGGAGGAGGTTTGACAGAAACGATATACATGCTTCGAGAAGCCGATAATGTTTGTTGGCTTGGAAAGGAAGGAGGATATCGGGCTCAAATTAAGGTCTCACCCGAGATCTACCATTGTCAACATGAATGGGATCAGCAAAACCCATTACCTGAAGATAGGAGGCCAGAA